TTGCCAAGCCCATAGATCTCAATAGAAACGCCATAAGCGCGGAGCGGTCGTGGCGGGCGCGCCGTGAGAACGCGGTATGATCGCACAGGTCGCGGTAAGAGCGCGGTTTTTTTTCAAGTTTGTAATTTGTTGGGACTTTTTCTCGCGTTGTGTTCGCGTTTGCCGGCGACCTTGTACATTTTCTGGTCGCCGTACGGTCGCGGATGGTCGCCGTCCGGTGTGACGGGGGTATTAAGAAGTGCTTGCGACTAAAAATAACATTTACTGAAGGTGGGTTTTGTGGACAGCTCGAACACAGCTCGAATAGGATCAGCATGTGCTCCTGACACACTGTTCTATCCGCAGTCAACTAGACATTTAAAACACCGTGCCAGGACCACGCATGGTGAGGCTTGAGTTGCGTTGTCCTCTACCGTGCACGCCCCCGCCGCGTGCCGATGTTTGTGTGTACATTTAGAAACACAACCGCGTTCTTGCGTTAGCGTGAGAACACCCGCGCTAATAATGTTGTTATGAGCAGTAGGAAGGTACGCCATCTTCCCGTCTCTGTAAATGAACACAACATGTATCCCAGGCATGCACGAATAACACAGATCTATGTCTGCATAATCATTCCGCGTGCGTAAGGGGGGTCAAGCTGGGATCGCATGCACATACATGATAGGATCAGAAGTGAATAATAATAGATCTATTATTATTCACTCCTGATAGGATTATGATAACGTTTAGGGTTAGGGTTATGTGTTAGGGTACGTAAGTGTTATATGGGGATGCTGTACGGTGATGATGATGAGTGGTATGAAGGATGGTCCTAGGATAGGATTGAGGCGCGCGGGATAGGATTGCGGGCAGACTTTCTTACGGGGTTTCGTGTAGTCATTGAGGTGATAATTGCACGACAGTCAATTACAATTAAGCAGCGGAGCACTGATGGGGTTATTGGTGAAGCGACGATGCATCGTTATTACTGCGATCCCAGCCAAGCCGTCAGCCGGCCGTCAATGGGTCACGACTTCGAGCAGACAGCTCGAATAGCTACGACAGCTGTCAACAACCAACTAGCGGTTCCTGTTCACGGGTTCCACCCACCGATGATCTGCATGGTAAGTCTGCGCCGTGGCAGGTTGCGGACGGGGAAGAAGAAAATCACAGAGGAGCCGCGGGACCCGTTTAGTCAGCCGGCGGTTGTGATAGTAGGGCTGGGCGGCAGCGTGCAAGTGCCGGCCGGGTGATGCGAGCACACCCACTAAAACACACCCTCCGCTGAGCCGTAACCGCCCTCGCTGCTGCTGTTGCTGCTGCTGTTGGTGCTGCTGCTGCTGCTGCTACTGCTGCTGCTGCTGCTGCTGCT